GAAAATATCCAAATTTAACCAGTATAAAAGAAATCCTCCCATTTAAAAAAAGAACCCTCCAAAATAATCAGAGGTATAATGTGAAAAGAAAGTAAAGAAAGGAAAACAGATCTCAGCAGTGTAACAGAAATTCTCAAAAGCGTAAGTGTTCACTTCTTCTCGTTGAGTTCTTCATCTTCAAGTCTAATTTGTTGCAATCTACGAGCGTGAAGCTTTGCAAAGATGGCAATTAGTCCCAAGATCAGGAATCCACCAAGGAATCCGGATGCAACTGCACAAACAGCCTCTGGAGATTCAGAGATACGCTTTGCAGAATCAGCAAAGTCAATGGACTTGACACCTGCAACAACGTCTTCACCCCATTGCTTGATTGTTTCAACAGTAGAGATCTCATCCGTTGAAACCTTGAAGCCCTTGCATCCCTTCTTACCAGCACGATGTGGAGATACAGCGTGTGGGGCATTTGGATAATCAGTGATCAAGCGGTGATGTGGGTCCTTATGGTGTGGGCCCTTGTGGTGTGGTCCCTTGTGGTGTGGTCCCTTGTGGTGTGGTCCCTTGTGGTGTGGTCCCTTGTGATGAGGGTTGTCATGGAACTTCTTTGGCTCCTCCGCTTGCTCCTCCTCAATATTGGCCTCTTCAGACTTCATTGATTCGACAACATCATGGATCTTTGCCATGATGGATTCATAGGTGTCTTCAGCAACCGCATGGGCATTCTTCAACCCTTCGCGCACAGAGTCAACGAGCTCCGTCTTCTTCTCATCTGGCAACTGCTGTGGGATTTGAACTGGAGCAGCACGGGCGCTAGCACCACCAAGCGCCATGGCGATCTCCTGAACCTGTTTGATGGCCTCGTCAAGGTCGTCACTGAGCTCAACGTTCTCAAACTTGTGAACAACAGTCTTTCCATCACGGGTGAATCCCAAAACCTCAACGTTGGCGTTGACAGGAACCGGAGCTGGAGCAGCAACTGCAACAGCGGCTAATGATAATAATGTAGCAGCTTTCATTATCTTTGTTTTTATTTGTTATGAATTTGTAAGTGTAAATTCGTCTTGTGTTTGTGGTTAAAGGTTTAAAAAAGGGGTGGCTGAGTCGGTGATGTTGTGGTTTTTATCTCAAACAGTGCGCGTGATGGAAATCCATGGAAAGAATTTTTTGAGATGGGCGGAGGAGGCCAAAGGGTGTGGTTGATTACATAAGTTATTATTAAGCACGTTGGTTTAAACTGGGTGTTCAGATGTTGAGGTGTTTGGATGTGTATATACCGGGGTATGGCCTCGTAAGACTCCACATGGCAGGATAACCTAATGACTATGGGAGGGAACTAGAACTAAAGCAAAGATTCATTTATTCTTAGTTCATGGTGTGTTGTATGTCATAGTTCCATATCTTGATCGTCGTCGTCCTCCTCCTCCTCCTCCTCCTCTTCAGGGTCGATAACTTCGTCCTCATCATCTTCGTCGCTCAAATCACTAACTTCGCTCAGCTCGTCCTCACTGCCAGTGTCTGAAGTATCTTCAATCTTGAAGTCAGGGTTATTTGCATATCTCTTGACATATTCCCTGATCCTGCTCTCGTACTCTGTTTTGTCCTGCTTCATAAGAGCCGCAGCGTTGGTGTTCAAGGGATCAGCAGGGTTCGGATAGCACAAGAGCTGTGGCAGGAATACGTCAAAGATATTACACAGGTCGAACATTGGGGACCATGTCTGGTTTATCACATCAAGGCAAACAGACCCGGAGGACTCGTCGATATTTGGGTGGAAGATTTTGTTTTGAAACCCAATAGATGGCGATTTATAAGGATACTGATCAGGTAGTTCGACATGGATCTTCCAAGTGCCCCCTTCAAACGGAGAGTCTGTTGGACCTTTGAACTTGATCATGAACTCTTGCATCCTGTTGTTAATGAGACTGACTTCATGGTCACTCATAAGCCTTGTACTGCGGTTAGTATCCTTTACTTAGTCTTTGAGCAAAGAGAGCGAAAGGGCACATCATTTACGTACAGCTTCATCACATCTGTTTCGATTCTTCTGCGTGGTGATCTACAACAACCCGCCGTGTTAGTACATACGTAACAGAGTAGTGAGTTCATAGAACATACGTCATTTCGGGTTGTGTTTCTTATGCTCTGTTTTGTCTATTTCACTGTTCAAATGATGAGGCAAGTGTGACTCTTCCCAATTGATTTGTGTTATCGCCCCCCCCCTTATATGGCACCTTTTTTTGTGCGACGCGCACGACCTCTCAACCTACTTTAGAAGCTACAACTGAGTTCATTGGTTATCGGCATTTAACGAGCGAACCAGTTCTATAAACTATTTAAGTATCACTTTGACTCCATTTTCCTTCTCAAATGCTTGTAGTACATCGTCTACATCGTCGATCGGAGTAGAATCGCTCAGAAACTCCGTCGAAAGCTTGTTGATCAACTCAGTATCCTTGTCAACGGTTGACGATTTACTAAGTTGATGTTTCAGCTGTACCAACGATTCCTTTTCCCTTTGTTCCTCCATTTGTTTGGTTTCGATGAGCTCTTTCAACTTCTCAGTGGTCACTCTGTCTCTAAACACAACCCTCGTGGCTGAATCGTCCAACAGCTGCGCCGCCTTAAGAACCGCTTCATTCTGTTCAATAAGATCCAACGATACGATATTCTTTAGGGTTATTGTCTCTAGCCCTTTGGAGTTTGTTATTGGGACGACTGAAGCCTGTGCTATGGTCATAGCTTTTGTTGTAATCTTCCGCTGTGCTGTTTTTGCTGCTTCGATGGAGCGTGTACTTGTTGTTGTTGTTTACACACAAAATTTTCAAACACTACGGTGATAATTTACCAGCAGGCTCACTCACAGAAAGAAGTATCAATTACGAGATATGTACAGGAGGGTGTCTTCATTGCGCCGGCTTCCACTTCACAGCCTTATCCAGCTCTTCTCCTTTCATCTCCACCGACTGGATTGTATCGTTTGGAACGCTCACGAGGCCCAGGTCCCTACAGTTAGTGTGTCCACGTTGTATTGACGTCTCGGAACAGTTATTTATGAGTAGATTTGGCTTGCTATCAAGAGCCAATAATACGCCTTGGAGAATGCGTCCATCGTTGAGCGTGATCTTTAGCTCCGATCCTATGAAGTCAACAGCCTCTAATGATTCCATTTGATGTACCGGCTAGGTTATATGGTTGTGTGTGTTTCTTCCCAGTGTTTGCGGCGGCCTTAGGGTGCGTGAACTCATTGAAACCTCGCTAATTTTTTTTGGTAGCACACACACTAGGATGTGTACTGTGTGGGAAGGAATTTATCAGCAACCACCAAAGTAGAATACGATAACTATACTTAGGAGAAGGGGTTCGAACGGCTTCTACAGATTCTACTCGTTTCTCCCAGGCGTCTAATGGGGAAAGGCTTAATCGGAGCTAAAACTACATCCCATTAACTATACACAAAGGGAAACGTCCTCTCCCAAAATGTGCCACCCGGTGATGGTTTTGCAACTGGGACGCTAACCATGCACATACAACAAATTCATGCTAAGAGGTAATACTGAAACCCGCTCTCGTAAAACAGTTATATGACCGCTCGTTGACGTAATCAGTAGCAGGTGTTATTATCTACAATTGTACGTTGGATTGATAGAAATACACGCTGTATCGTGACCAAACTTGTGACATTGTCCGTTCCCGTCCTAACAGGACAACTCGGCCCCAGCCCACGAATTACGGATTTTCCTGCGCTCTCCGTTTTCCAGGCTGAGAAATAGTCCCCCCGGCTACTCACAGGAAGCGATGCTTCCCTTTGGAAGGTGTCGCTCCACCTGTTCCGCGCGGCTCTGCACAGAGGAGTACGGTGGGCGCCAATTTTCAGCGGGCGCCTGTTCGCCAGCCTGGGGTGAGAGGGGCGTGTACTAGGGGGGTATTGTAAAATTGTGTGGGATACGTTTGTACATAGGCGGACGGCATTTGAGTGCATGAGCCTGGGAGTGAAAGAACTTGACGGAGCGCACAGACAGGAAGGTAAAGAAAATACCACGAGATTGCAGGCAGCACAAAAAATAGGCTGGTGCCGTTGTCCAAGGGTGGCTGACACCATGGCTTTGTTGGAAGGATAAGGGGAACCCATTGACCTAAGTGGCACCAACGTGCCTCCTCCATACTTCATGTAGCCCACGAATGCCTGGCAAGCGGTTCACAACCCGTTAGCAAGTCTTGTCAGCATTCCTATCGTCCCCTCGCTTCCCCCAGGCATGTGCGTGGTGCTGTGATCACCGCACTCTGTTCCAACGAAATTTTGTTGTGCCACTATGGCGTACGTCTTATGTATGGGGTCACCCCCTTGTAACCTGTGCAACAAGTTGGGAAAAACTCCTGCTTAGAATCTTGAATTGTCCCGCCCAGCGGATAAATTTATAAAGGAGACAATCGAAGTTTTAACGGGACGGCCATGCTGCTTTTTTTCCTTAAATTTAGAGTTAAAAGGACAACCAGCCAACTCGAATAATAAAAGGAGACTTTTCGTTTTCTCTCCTTCGAAGACTAAGGCTACATCACCTCTAAGCAAAAAAGGACCAATTAATCGTGTCTGTCACTTCAAGACACTGTCATTATTCACCACACACATACCCACCAATCAATTGTGCCGGAGCGAAAGTCCTTCCTTGCATATTTCTTTAATCCACTTTCTCTCTCCTTTTCTTGCCCACCCCTCTCTTTCTGTCTTTGCAAGTGAAGATAAAATAACTCCACCGAGGTAATGACAAGAGACGTGACTAACCATTTACTCTTTGAGGTGGCCACAGAGGTGGCCAACCGTGTTGGTGGTATCTACTCGGTGTTGAAGTCGAAGGCGCCAATCACAGTGGCCGAATACAAGGAACGGTATACCCTCATCGGTCCCTTGAACTATGACTCCGCTGCCGTCGAGGTTGAGGAGTTGCAAGTTCAAGATCCGCATATCAAGGCAACTCTGGACTCAATGGCTTCGAGAGGTATCAGATACATCTACGGCCGTTGGCTTATCGAAGGTGCTCCTCGTGTGCTTCTGTTCGATGTCCACTCTGCTCAACACCACTTGGATGAGTGGAAAACTGACCTCTGGACCATTGCCGGTATCCCTGCTCCAAGCGCTGACTTTGAGACTAACGATGCCATTTTGCTGGGTTACCTGGTTGCGTGGTTCCTGGGTGAATTGGTGCATCACGATAAACAGCGTGCAGTGATTGCCCACTTCCACGAATGGCTCGCAGGTGTCGCTTTGCCGCTTTGTCGTAAGAGACGTATCGACGTTACCACTGTGTTCACCACCCATGCTACGCTTTTGGGTCGTTATCTCTGTGCCGGCTCTGTCGATTTCTACAATAACCTGGCCAATTTCGATGTTGACGCTGAGGCTGGTAAAAGAGGTATCTACCACCGTTACTGTATTGAAAGAGCAGCTGCTCACAGTGCAGACGTCTTCACGACGGTGTCGTTGATCACAGCTTACGAGTCTGAGCACTTGCTGAAACGTAAGCCTGATGGTGTCCTGCCAAACGGTTTGAACGTTGTCAAGTTCCAAGCGGTTCACGAGTTCCAGAATTTGCACGCTGTGAAGAAGGAGAAGATCAACGAGTTTATCAAGGGTCACTTTTACGGTCATTATGACTTTGACCTGGACAATACTTTGTACTTCTTCATTGCCGGTCGTTATGAGTACAGAAATAAGGGTGTTGACTTCTTTATCGAATCCCTCGCACGTTTGAACTACAAGCTGAAAGAAGCTGGATCCAAGATCACAGTAGTGGCGTTCATCATCATGCCTGCAGCCACCAACTCTTACACTGTCGAGACATTGAAAGGTCAAGCCGTTATCAAAGCGCTGGAAAACACAGTTAGGGAAGTTCAAAACTCCATTGGACATAGACTGTTGGAACACTGCTCTCGCTATCAACAACATGGTAAAGAAGTCCCAGATTTGGACGATTTAATCTCCCCAGCAGATCGTGTTTTGTTGAAACGTCGTATCTTTGCATTGAAACGTGACGGTTTGCCACCAATCGTGACACACAATATGAAAGATGATGCCAACGATCCAATTTTAAACCAGATTAGAAGGGTTGGTTTGTTCAACAACTCAAACGACAGAGTGAAAATCATTTTCCACCCAGAATTCCTCAATGCGAACAACCCAATTTTGCCATTGGACTACGATGAGTTTGTCAGAGGTTGTCACTTGGGTGTCTTCCCTTCGTACTACGAGCCTTGGGGATATACGCCTGCTGAATGTACAGTCATGGGTGTTCCTTCAATCACTACCAATTTGTCAGGTTTTGGTGGATACATGGAGGATCTCATTGAGAATTCATCGGACTACGGTATCTACATCGTGGATAGACGTATGAAGTCTGTCGATGAATCCATTGATCAATTGACACATCAGATGTTTGAGTTTACGAAAAAGACAAGAAGACAACGTATTAACCAAAGAAACAGAACTGAGCGTCTCAGTGACCTGTTAGACTGGAAGAGAATGGGTTTGGAGTACGTCAAGGCCAGAAACCTCGCCTTGCGTAGAGCTTATCCAAACTTGTTTGAAAATGGTGCACAGGGTTCTGACTTTGACTCCAAGATTAAGATCTCAAGACCATTAAGTGTTCCGGGATCGCCAAGAGACCGTAACAACATCATGACCCCTGGTGATTTGGGATCTTTACAAGATGCTGCATTGGGTGATGACTATTTCCATCTTCAAGGCGATGAAGAGGATGAGGGACGCTACGGTTATCCGTTAACCCTCCGTGGTGACTCTGTGCCTGCAAAGGATTGATCATGCTGTACCATTCTCTGTGCTAATAAACCGTGTTATGCCAGCTCGCTTTTTCCGTTCTCTCTCTTCCCTTCTGTATTAGTTTAAAATAAGAATGATAAACAAAGAATTAACTAAGAACAGAGGTAGTGATTTTAGAGGAGCATGAACGCACTCCTTGTGTGTGTTTGTCTATTGAGATGCGACAAGACACATGATGAGGATGTTGCGTGCGCGCCGTTGACGTCGCGGTGGACAAACAGGTTGCACGAAACACAGTGGAAGATGCGGTCGGTCAGAAACATTGTGTGTTTTATTGTCCCGCAGCCGGTGCATGTCTTGCTCGTGTACTCTTCAGTCATTCTCGAGAGGCGTGTCCTCGTGACTTGACATTTGAAGGCCAAAAACTTGTGGATTAGGGAGAAAACAAAATGAACTGGAGGACGAGGTGTGATAATTCACGAGTGTTTTTGGAGTAGATGCCGATGAACTCAGCGATGTGTTTCGCGGTTACATGCGTGCCCGGGTAAAGTGGTAAAAAGACACACACCTTCCAGCTGCGTGAACGACGCGTGGTGAGCGGATGATCTACACTGGCTCATCATGAGGAGAACGTCTGGTCCCTTCCGGATTCAATGATAGGCAATACGAGCGAGATAAGGACCTTGTCAAATGTCCGTTGTATGCTTCGTAAAACTTTGCTTTTGGGAGGGCTTTTATTTTTTGGGTTTGATTTGCCCTTATCGGACACTTTTCCTGTCACAGATCAGTTTTGCTGTCATTTTGCTGTGCCTTTTCGTGCCCTGATAATAGGTTCACATTTGGCGCAAAAGTCTACAAAAGCCTACAAAAGGGCTCCTTTTTGGGCAACAGTTGTAACCACATTGATCTAGCTACGACAAATGTGTTGAACACTATAAGGACAGATAGATTAAGTATATTCAGCCTTTCACACATGCATGACAATGCATGAATATTGTCCAATTGATATTCATGCATGCCTACTTGAGCATTTGTCCTGTAGAGCATCAATGTTATGAGCTTCTATACCTATGGCTAGACGAAAAAGCTTACGACTTTCTGTCTAGGTTTTCCAGTATTCTTACAATTGTTCTCTATCAAAATTTGCACGGTCTAGTTATGCATAAAATCCCTCTCCCCTTCAACACATCGCTTTTGTCGATCTCTGTCATTTGTCTTTTGAAATAAGAGAATCACACATATCGTGCTCACCATTTAAGATATAAAGGTGCATGATAATTTTCCTGTGTGAATCATCTTGTTTATACTTTGGCCAAAATATCCAAGGAATGGCTTGTTCCACCAATGTTTTGTAAGCTTTAACAATATGGCCTGTTTATTTCATTAGCCTGAGCTTCCCACTTGTCTTGTCTTCAGGTCGGTTAAAGTGGTCTGTAAAGAAAACACTTTTTCAGGCGTCCGTCTTGTTAAAGCTATTCAAGACCAGACAAGAGACACGAGCATGTGTCGATGATCCACAGGACGATGGACTATGACCTCCTTGTTCTTGGAACATCTCAAGTTCTAGAGAAAGAAGGTTTTGGATATACGACAATTAATAAGTGGTAGGGTCATATCTATGGTAGTACATGTAAGTGCATACATAGTGTTGAACAATAGTAATGAGTACTCAGAAAGTCTCATTATGCACTTACTAAAGTTACACTATATGCTAATTCTCTTCCTGTCCAAGATATGTGTGATGACAAGTTGCAAGAATTGTTTCAACTGAGGGTTAAGTCACCTAGCATGATCAGAATTTAAGTTTTTGAACAACTCTCTACTTTACGCCACATGTCGTTTTGTTAAAGTGTTCGGTTACAGTACAGTTGGTCGAGTGGCCAGTGGTCATCAATTCTTGACACTTCCAAATAAGTTTTGATTCAAAGAATTTTCTATCCGTGCACAAGGGGAGGAAGATCGCTCTTATTAGCTGATACCTGTTTTTGGAAAGTGAGCATATAATGTCCTGGATATAATGCTCTGTTTAACAAACAGAGGGGTGCCGGCGTGGCTTGATCATATTGTGCAGAACTGTTCAAAGTGCCTAGCTTTCACCCAAAACACAAATGACAAAGAGATGTACCCTTAGTCATGGAAAGATGAGATTATCCTGCGTAATTGAAAGTATGTGGTTGGTAACGCATCATCTGTGTCTGTGTAAATCTTAATTGTCTTGGAGTTTATAATGAGAATTACATCTTTAAAATTGTGTCCAAAAGCCAAGATTGAATCGCCACTCACTTAAAGGATTGTACATATAGACATTTGAACACAGAAAAGGGGGACACACGAGGAAGTCTGTAATACAGTTTACACATAATGAATGTGTGTCAGGTGTGTGAACGCCACCATGAGGTGCTGAAAAGTGCTGGAATACTGTGGAATAATTGTTCTGCCGATCATTTGTAAAACAAAAATAGCCCACCGATCAGTCCATCCGTTTGCATCCAACCGAGGTAGGGTGCTAATACTCCGACTGGCTCTTCAATACTCGGCATTTACTTGCATGAAACCTCGCATCGAGTTCAAGTTTGTGTTGTTGTTGTTTTCCTTTGGAATTGACTCGGGAAACCACCTTTCATCCTATACAGATATATTATCGGGTCTTAATTGTAAGTCTGTAGTGTATACCTACCTCTACCGTCCTTAGAGTTTCATTTATAGTAATTCCGAAGTTTTGAGTGATAAGTAACAACCTCTGACATTAACATATGTCTTCGTCCGAAAGCCGCGTCCGTAGGCCGTGTGTGTATATAACATAATTGTATAGTTTCTCAAAAGCCAACTTCCCTTTTGGAACTTGGCGCTGGCTGGACTGGGCTACGAATTGACTTTGTCCAAAAGTAGAACTTAAAGGCAGTGACTACAGACCGTAGTTGGTGGGGACAACAAAGTCCGTATAGTGCACAACGCACATGTGTCATGTGTCCTGTGTCCAAACTCAATGATGCAGCTTTTTTTATTCCCTTCGGAAAAAAAGACAATTCCTACAAACTCAAGGTTTGTCTTGAAAGACAGTGTAAGATGGACAATCTTGTATATGGCTTGAATGCCATCAATCATGGTCAAAACTCTACTCTCAACAGTTAGACATAGCCATGGTTAAAGCACATGGTATTATCCTTATTTCTTGTATGAAAAGGTGTCAAATTTCAAAAGTGAATGAGCATCAAGGTTTAACCATCACGGCAAATCACGGAACAACCAGATTGAGCATTTGGTATAAGTGAATGATAATTTGAGGATGCAGCCGTTAAAAGAATATGTTTCTCTAACTGAGGGATGCTTTTTTGCCCACAAAAGCCAACCAAACTCCATTCTCCGTGGACTCTGTGGATATCTTCTACTTGGTTCAATTGCATTAATGCTAGTGTTTCTTTTATGTGTAAAATTTGGATTGATCTCTATATATCCAGAATACGGAAAAACTGTTTGTACAAAGTCGTAAAATATCACCAAAACCACCAAGATCAAAAAGCTTCTTGATCAGAACATCGAACAATCATTTGAGATCAGAAGATATCATCACAATGCTGAGAAGAATAACGCCACTCCTATAAGTCCGTAAAATAGTGTACAAAAACAACATCATCAAAAAAACAAAAAAAAAAAAACAAAACGCATAAATAGTTCACATAATCATACTCTTAAATCATTCGTATCAGGCTTCATCATTGTAATACCTTGAAATAGAGCATCTTCCCCCCTGTGGTGGCTCTGAAGTTGTGGCTGATGGAACGCATTCTGAGGTTCAAACATTGCAGTCATGGACTCCTCCCCAAAGAGCATATCCGAATCCACACCTTCTGCAGCACCTAATGCGCTGTAACCTGGATAGTCAGTCATGTGAAATAATCCATCGTTATCTAATGGGGAATTCTCGAGTAAAACGTTGTAAAGTGACTCTTGTGTTCCTTCTTTGAAATCCTGTGGTGGCGTGGACGTCTCAAGGGATGGCCAGAATGGACCCTCACCAGGGTAAAGACTTAAAGATGCGCCATCCTCTAATGAAGGAGTGGTTGAAACTTCGCTTTCATTTGACACAAACTGTGGTGGTGTGTTTTGGTCGAACTGCAAAGACGTACGGCCCATATCCAATGGAACAACTGAATCAGAGAGTGATTGGACAGAATCGAGAGATGAAAACTCTGGTGACATCAAGAGACTATCCAACTGACCAGCATTCATGGATCCCAACTCAGCAACGAGTCCCAAATCTAAGCTGTGGTGTCTCATGTTGATGTCCAAATTGGATCCAAATGGATACATTTGTTGTTGATGTTGAACATGTGGTGGTTGAGCTTGTAGAGCTGCTGGTGCTGGTGCTTTTGCTAATGACTCCTGCAACTCGGTGTGTTTCTCAGTTGGTGCAATGCCATCGTCATTCTCCATCTTCAACTTACGACCAGTTGTATAGTTCTTGGTGATGTCGGAGTTTGATCTAAAGTGAGAGCGTGTACGTAGAGTGGAAGGACGTTCCTGGCTCTTGATGAACTTCCAGCATTGATCTCCGTACGCCTTTGGTGTTAGGCCTGTAACGCTCTTAAACACACGGTGGAAATGCCATGGAGATAGCTTGGATTTTGAAGCCAACTCCTTGAATCCCAACACTCCTCCTCTTCTCTTCTTCTTCTGCTGAGACTTATCAAGTTGTTCTCTCTGTTGTTTTAAGACATTCTCTGCTGCTGCATGGGCGATGTGGCGACATGCAAGCTCCACAAGTTTGATGTGCTCGCTTTCGTTCCTTGTGAGATGGTGTTCACTGAAATGACCGTCTGACGTCTTCACTGCGGGCGTACTCAAAGCACGCTTCTTAAAAGATGTCATGCCCTCCTGTGAAAACCCAATTGATTTGTTGATATGTTCAATGGTACGCTTCAAAAGCTCTAAATCAACACAATTGCGGTCAGAGGCTGGGTCACAGCGTGAGCACACTTCAAATCCCATTGTTCTTGCTTCTTGGATGTCATTCATAAACAAGATATCCTCTTTGGAGGCAACCTTGGGAAGGAAATCACACAAAGGACGACAAACTGTGTTGTTCTTCTTGTTACAACAAACAAACGACGATGAGGCAAATGGGTCACAAAATTGATAAGCCTCCCATCTTTCGCTCGATGAATTGTATTGGGCCATCTTTTCTAAAGTACTCTGGTGTTATAGGTTTGTAATGGTTATATGTTGATTCAATAACCTCAAAACGTTATTTGTTTCTTTTGTGGTGCAAGGTTGGATGTGTCTTGTAATTGATTAGTAGAACTTCCACCTCTTATTGTTTCTCCTCAGTCAACGTAGCTCTCGAAGTGTAGTTGAAGGATTCGTACAATGATACCAGCTTTAAAGAGCAACTGCTTGTTTGTGTCTGGACATTATGGTTGAAGTTTGGTTAGTCGAGATTCCACCTCTTCTTTATATACAAACTTTTATTTTTGACGTAACCCCCCCCCCCCTCGTTTTTGATTTTCCCAAACTTTCTACTCAAGTGAGATGACATTTGTCATACATATGCGGGACATGCGTCTCTGCGTAAGTATGTGCACAGCGCATAATTGTTTTTCTGTCCTGCCTGACTTCTTAACTTTTTGGCTTTGCTGAAAGTCTAGAGGTGACGTACATCAAAGACATGGACATTTAACAAAACACATGGAAAAAGAAAAGTGTACGAGGAAAGTTGCAAGCAGGAACCTTCAGGGCTCAGTACATAGCACCTACTCGGTTACACTGTTGTTTTGGCCATGCAAACTCACATCATTCAGTTGTTGAATCATTCACTGAAGGAGTATACTTTGGAATAATAATTATGCCTTTGTAGCTCTGTGGATTTTATCTATAACGGTCATGATCGGTGGCTATGCTATCAAAATCCGCGAAGTGTACCCTAGGGCTCCGCCTACTGGGTTCAACAGTTGGAATTCCACCCGTCAATTGACTATTGGGATTAGCTATCGTCGTACATATGAAAATATGGCTTAGCTTCTAGTATCAACTACGTGAATTTGCTCGATTCGACTTTTCGGGTGCTATCGGTTATTGTAAGTATGGTGTCGTCCAGCGTAAACCGTGGCCATGAACATCTCGGGTTTAGTAGGTAACAGCCTCATTAGTGTAATCAATTTCTTTGGTGTTTTTCAAAGGTGTGTGTGCATCGAACGACATTGTGCATTTTTGTTCCTAGATTTACATCCAGGCCCCAGGTACACGGAAGTTCCAACGTGAAAACGTGCAAAGGGAAAAAAGCACTTGAGATAAACAACTATGACAACATAGAGACTACATGCATGACACATAACTCAAAGTTAAGGAAAAACCACACTTTAGAAGACAAGTAGCACTTTGGTTTTTACTAAACACACTATGACGTCTACTTCATGGTCTAAGGATGACGTTATCGCTGCCTCTCTCTGTGCTTCAGTAACGGGAGTTGGTACTTTTTTTCAAGTATCGCAACTGGACTAACGATGTGATGTAAACTATGGATCGCCTTGAAGTTATTGTGTAAACCATGGACCAAATAAGCATGGCGTTGGTAGAAAGAGATGATAGGCGACATCGACATGACCATGATAATAGGTATGTTTGCTTGCAGATTACAAGAGTGGTCTGTAATTTCGTTTCCACCCTGTCTGGTTCATATCGGTGGCTCGAAGCAGATTTAGCGGAGGTATAGTTAACCCACTTCATGCTCAGCATGTTAATCTATGGAAGGTTTTAGAACAATTGTGGCCGTTCATGTTGTTCTGTGTGTCGAGGTGGCGTTGCGTACTATATACACTGAATTCCATGCGTAATGGGGTAAAACCTGGGAATATTTCATCTGCTATAATGTCTCTAAGCAAACACGGAGGGGATCCACCCTGCATAGCTTCTTAATCTGTGTAGTAGTGTGTACGTAAAGTATGATGCGGTCTACACATGAGGAAAACAACATATGTGTTTTTTTAGAAACAGCACTAAAACATAGTTGCCCAAGGACTTGCTTGTGGGCTGATTCATAATGGTGATTATAACAAAGTATGTGTTGTCATCCTTTATGTGGGCTCTCCACTGGTTACTCGCCTGACATGGCAGAAAATCTGATAATGGGATGCACTTGAACGACCGTAATATGAAACTTACTGACTCTGATTGCTCTGATGTGTGGGTCCAGAACCAGTTGTAATTAAATTTCACAAGACAAGTCTGGTTCACGGCTTTGTAAATCTTGCTAAACCCAATCACACATCCAAAACCGATCTAAACGTTGCCATGATTGGAATAAATGAAGTGCATCCCGAAAGATGAGATGAGTTCCCAGCTATTCGGGACACCGAGACTCGGTTCACACCTGCTTCCTCATTAAATGTTTTTTTCCAAACTGACGTCATAACTGAAGTTCAAGACTCTCTTTGGAGGATTTAAGCATGTTTCCATGCTTCTTGCTGTGTTCTTCCCATGGTTTTTCCACAAAAGCAATTTTGCTTCCATACATTGACGTCTATTGCCGAAGCGTATATTCGCCCCAAAAGTGCTCAAGTATTCGGCAAACTCAAAACTCATTTCAGGGAAAGGGTTGCAACAACTTCTAAGCATGATTGGTGACAGGCCCTAGGCCACAAGTTTTAGAACGCCTACCGTCCACGACGTACATATATTTACGATTAAAAACAACTAAGGCGGACTTCAGATTTCAATATGGTGTCTGCTTGCCTCGTGTACGTCAGTTTGTTATTTACCCGGCATCGGTTGAAAAGGAGTAAACTATGTGGCTCGAAGCGTGTATCACCAACAACTATAGAAACCATATGTCATCGTCCATAATCAGGCATCAATTACTTTGATGTCAACATACAAGCAGGGAATGGTTTTGTAGGAGTCCGCAAGTTACTAAAAGCATGTAAAACTAAACAATCATTTCTTAGCAGTCAGAAATGATGCTACCTAAAGCTACACATATGACATCGGTTCATGTTGTGTGTTTTATATAACCCCTCCTCTAATGTTTAAAATGCGTAGAGCACTAAATTGTATCTTGTGAACGCGTCCCATCTTCTCTGCCCGAAGGTTTTTTTCCCAGCGGTATAATTGTCTGCTTTCGAGGATTTACAGTGCAGTGGTGCCCACAGTTCTTTATCTGAATCGACGAAACGACGGGTTTAACGCCGCAGCATGCCGTGTTCGGACAACACCGTTCCAAGTTCGAAACTCCACCCACCTTAGAAACCTCATATCAAACTGCTCATGCTCGGACATGCATGTAGAAGTCTCTGAATCAGCGTGCAAGCGCATAGTTGATGACACTTTCTCTCAATGCTCTATCCTTTTTTGTAGTTCTACAGCCGATGAAGTCACCATTATTCCTATTGACAAAAGAGTTCAAGTTACATCATTTTTCATTTTAGCTTTTTACAAGAAGATGGATGCACCATGAACTGCAATTGCATGTCTTAGAAGTTTTCCTCTTTTTTTATTATTTTTAGTAGTTTTACCTCTTGCAACCGTCCAATTATTCCAGCTTTTAGAATGAAAATTTTTGCCGTTTTCTCTTCGATGTGTATGTGTTTCTTTTCTTTTTTCACTTTTGCATTTCCCAAAGTTAAAAGCAGTCTAGATTAGAAAAGAGGGTTCACAACTTCACAGCTCGGAACATTATGTCCTGGCTGCTTTTTTCCGTTGAGACATGACAACATGTAAACTGATTCACCTTGCGTACATTCTCTTTTCCTTATTTACTGAGTCATCAATCTTTAAGAGTTAGATATCAATGTCCTCGGTAGAGTTGGCTTAAAAGAAACTAAGGAGTACTCCACCCTACAGACTCTCGTAGTATAGGAACAGGAACACGACGAATCCTTGGCTTTGTGGTCACTCTCATTGTCAGTACAATACATAGATAGGGACGGATCCGGTCACCGATCATACTCTCGATTACGAATATATGCAGGAGCATTCATCAACTACAAGTGAGAGTGTGAGAGGTGACAGATCAGTTCTTATGGGCTAGACAGTTTCCCATTACCCCTTTAAATCACTTGTACTAGACCACCATGGTTGGGTAATCAATGCAGCGTGTATGACAGCGAGGTTGTGAGTTGGCTTAAAAGTTGTGATCGGCCGTGGAATGCTATCGAACCTTTTTTCAGATGTATACACAACACTCATATGGCGAATAAATACATCACAGTGTTGCATGCGATTCATGCAAGTGCGCAAATCAAACAGATGTTTCCCTCCATTGACAGACTGAAAGAAGAGTTTTGTAAAATCTGGTGATTATAATGATCACCGTGCTTTAAGGCTACCCTGGTGATTTCACCATTCAATTACGGCGCCTCTATTGAACAATTACTCCGCTTTTTAAAGCTGTGTGTGGCTATGTGGTGACGCGAAGATGATGCATTATGATTCGTCGGTGGTCGAGAACAATTCGAAGCATAATACAGAATAAGTGTTGGCCCAGAAGTTTAATCCACACCACAATTTAGGTTCTAGAGACTGTTCCTGTGTAACGAATGGCGCGTCACTTCACTGAAACGAATGTTAATGTCAAACTTTGTACAAGACTTTCAGGTAATTTACGGATATGTCCGTGTCCCTCTTTGTCTCTTTCCTCCCTCTTTGCAAGCGCGGCCAAGACGAGGCCATAGTTGACCTTCATGATTACTCCCATGTGTCTTCTGTATTCGTAGTCGCTACTCCTTGAACAGCACTGTGGCTATCCCACAGTGATGTTAACCGCTTGTGTGTGTGTCTTGCCACCTGAACACCTCGGTGGGCGGGAGCTGTTCCGACTGCCGAACTCTGGTGGCGTGCGCAGTGTACGCTGTTCGCCAAAATTGCGAGGTGATTGTCAGGAAAATAGCGACAGCCAGTTTTTCCGCGAACCTGTTTTATGGTACGTAGGAATAACCATACGATGTTACCGTTTACAGCTTTGTCATTAATCTTGTTTACATTTGGAAATTTTTGCTCAAAATTGGCTTGTCTTGGTGAACAAAATTTTTACAAAGTTATCTTCAGAGAACGGGGAACGAGTTGAATTGGTGCTGTTACAAGAGCTTGGATCTATTATATTCTCCTTTTATCCTTTCTGTTCACCCATTTGTGTGTTTTTCGGTTTTTTTTTGTGTTGGTTTCACGTATAGAAAGCCCGAGGGAGAATGTTCGACGTCATCAAACGCCATGGCTCGCATCACTTTGTCAATGTCAAATATGGCTACATCGTCTTATTCGCTGGTGCTATCTATTTGGCTTGCCTATTCGTGTCTAATAAGCTTTTCATTCTCAATTGGAACACAATAAGGACCTCGAAGGTCATGAGAAGGGTGCTTGATTCACATCACAATGTGCTTACGCTGTTTCTGTGGACTGGGTTCTTGATGATTTTAGCGTTTTGGCATTTCGATTCTGATAGCATCAACGTGTACATCAAGCGATTTGGTCGCTTGTGCTATGCTCTTGTTCCACTGGATATCTTCCTATCGTTGAAACCGAGTCCTATACCCGATGTGTACTATCTGGAGTTGATTTTCCTTCACAAGTGGTTTTCCCGTTTGATTGTGACTATAGCCACTGTACATTCTATTGGGTTCATCGCAGTGTGGATATCTAAGGGCACAATGCTGAAATTCTTCAAACCTTTGAACTTCTTAGGTTTCATTGCTCTTTTGTGCTTCCTGGCTATAACTGTGGTTTCTCTCAAGCCTTTAAGAAGACGGTTCTACAAGCTGTTCTTCACCGGTCATGTCGTATTGGCGTGGGCCTGTGTTGCACTGATGCAATGGCATGCTAGACCAGGTGTTTCACTCTACACCCTTTTGAACATATCCCTCATTATTCTTCAGATTGCTACAAAGTTTTACAAGTCGTCCGATGTCATTCTTGAAAAGAAAACCAATGCTGGCTCTACTTTGGATCTAATTACATTCAACAACAACAGCGTTTCCAATTTTGTCGCTGGCTCGCATATAAGAATTTCGTATCCAAGGCTGAATCCTTTGAACTATCTTCTACCAAGCCATCCATTTACTGTGGCGTCATTACCAGATGATGCTAGCATTAAGTTGGTGGTGAGAAAAACCACTAAGGATTTCAAATCTGGCGAACTTGTTTCGTGCTTTGGACCATTCACATCTATAAACAACAAGTTCTTCGAAACAGCTGAAACTGTTGTCCTCATCGCAGGAGGCTCTGGAATTTCCTATGCTCTAGGTCTGTACCAGCAGCTGAAGAACTCCAACGCAAATGCTGTGGTTGTGCTCGTATGGGTCCTCAGAAACAGAGCCGATCTTTGGATCCTGGATCATTTCCCTCTTGTCACTTCCGTCGATGTTTACATAACAGGTGGTAACATCACAAGCGACGACCCTGTTTCTAATGCTTTTGGTGATGAAGATGAAGAATTGTTGGATCAGACTGGCCGTGACTCGTTTGAGATGGAGGATCTCGACACCACTCAGACAAAGAACACTAAGATCAAACTCGGTAGACCAAACCTCGAGCTGTATGCCTCAATGTTTAGCTCCAAGGATAAGAACAGTTCGTGGGTTGTAAGTTGTGGTACGGACTCTTTGAACAAGGATAGTGCCAAATGGGCTAGCACATTGGACGTTAGATACCACAGTGAGAGCTATTCCTTGTGAATCTTGTATATAATTCTATATTTATTATCCGTTTGAGTACACTTCATCATTGTTAACTATTTGCTAATCACGTGCTGTATCACGTGTAACCTTTTTTCGTCGGGTCATTTCAGGGCTGAGCCATAGAATCCGTGACATTGCACATTGATCAGCGATATCAGTAAATTTCGTAGCTCCTAAATTTAGGGGCCCATTTTTAATATTAAAGCTGTATAATTGCGCCAATCCAGAACGGATCATTGTGATAACGAGGTCTTGCAAGTGCTGATACCTGTTGTTTTCTTTTTTCTTTCTTTGCTTTCCTTGTTTCCCCCTTTCTGTTGTTGATTTCGATTGAGGACTAAATCTATGCCATACACTTCGCCAACGTCTATACAGCCCTCAGAGGTTGAAGGTCATCCGATCCAGAAGTTTATAAACAAGTTGGCAGGACAACCCCAATCGTATGCTAAGAAGGCTAATTACATATTCGGAAAGACCCTTGGCGCTGGAACGTTTGGTGTTGTCAGAAGGGCCCGTGATATCAATACCAAAGAGGACGTTGCTATCAAAATTGTCTTGAAGAAGGCCTTCAAGGGTAACGAAAGCGCCTTTTACGATGAGCTCAGTCTGTTACAGAAATGTCAACATAAGAATATCGTTGGTTTTAGGGATTGGTTTGAGAGTAAAGACAAGTTTTACATTGTGACTCAGCTCGCCACAGGTGGTGAGCTCTTTGACAGAATTGTTGAACAGGGTAAATTCACAGAGAAGAACGCTGTCAAGATTATTGTCCAGATACTGGATGCTGTGGACTACCTTCACAACAAGCTGAACATTGTTCACAGGGATTTGAAACCGGAAAACCTGTTGTACGTCACCAGGGATCCCGACTCGGAACTGGTCCTTGCGGACTTCGGTATCGCTAAGGAGCTGTTAACCCCTGATGAAGTTTTGACCTCCTCTGCGGGGAGTTTGGGATATTGTGCACCAGAGGTTCTCACCGGTAAGGGTCACGGTAAACCCTGTGATATTTGGTCATTGGGTGTCATATGCTACACCATCCTCTGTGGTTATTCTCCGTTTAGAGCTGAGAACGTTAACGACTTCTTGAACGAGGTGCAAAAAGACCCTCCAGTTGTTTTCCACCGTGAGCAATGGAAGCACATCTCTGAGGGGGCCAAAAGGTTCATACTGCGAGCATTAACGATCGATCAGAAGAAGAGAGCCACTGTCACTGAGCTTTTGAATGACCCATGGATTCTCAGTAACTACGATGACTACGATAAGGACGATTTACTGCCGCAGTTGAAGAAGTCTCTCGCCAAGCAGAAATTTGTCCGTGTTGTTGAAATTGTCAAGCTGAACAACAGAATCAAGAAGCTAAGAGAGTTGGAAACAGATTCCGATTCAGATGATACAGATTTTGAGTTTGTTGATTCTTCCTCGTCTTCTGACTCGAGCGCATTCGACCTGAGTTCCGTAGCGAACTCTTTGAAGAAGGACACTACGAAATCAGAAGTCAATGCCTCCTTGTTCCAACAAGTTGTTAGAGCTGCAGCTACAAATAAGGAAAAGGTCTTGAGCTATAAGGAGCCTGAAGCAGGTAATTGAGTTCGGTGTTCTGTTTGGGGATGATTTTGAAGCTGAGCCTTTGATATCCTAGTATGCCTTGCTTACTTCGTTGTAGGGTATGTCCCTTTTTCCTAGCTTCACACATAGCTTAGTGGCATTGTCATGCTAGTAGCTTTTGACTCCATCTAAGCAACAGTAACAATAGTTGTATCGTATACGGGTACACGGATAATGTTGATCTATATAATATAATATATTTAAAAACTACACGATGTTCATTGTAGTTTCAATTGTGTTACGAGCTCATCTTCATTGACATTGACGACTCCACGTGTAGGTCTTCTTCACCATGGCACCATTACACGTCAAACAAAAATACTAAAAAAAAGACTGCCTCCTGCCAGAATTGAACTAGCGACCTTTGCATTACAAGTGCAACGCTCTACCACTAAGCTAAGGAGGCAACTTTCTGCAAAAATTCCGACTTTTTTAATCCACTTTCGGCATTGAAAATGCTGCCTTCCATGGCTTATAGGATGAACGTACCTGCATATTTGGAATTTCAAATCCGGCCGCGTGGTCTAGTGGTATGATACTCGCTTTGGGTGTGAGTGGTCCAGGGTTCAATTCCCTGCTCGGCCCTTTTTTTTTGCACACCGGATGCTTGATAATACCGTTCCGTGTTAGGATATTTTTCAATTATAATGGCCTGGTTAGTATTGAACCATGGTAGATCGTAGGATAACCCTTGAGATGTTACATTTACAATGCTCCCTCCCAGCTGTGGAGGCGTCAGCCTATCAACTTCGTGGTGGTGGCTCAGTTGCCAATTCGGGATGAAGTCTCTAAGCAGACCGACATATGTGGGTTAGATGCACCCTCAACCGAGGTATCTACATAAGTTATTCGATTGGTGTATAGGCTGTGCTTATATATATCCTGTATATCTATTAGTGTAGTCTCTTTTTGAACTTAACCACTGCGTTGAGGAAACCAATGACAGCAAACGTTGGTCTGCTCAAGAACCCAGTTGGTAGAGCCCAGTGGTAACTGAGAACAACGTCACACATGAGGTTGAAGTTGTATGTGTGGTTCTTTGCCTGTTTCAAAAATTCAATCACGTTCCATGCACACCACAGTTGGCACGAGTAGACGTAGTACCAGTCGGATGGAGTCAGCGATTTATCACGCTTCTGTGCGGGCAGTAGGAAGAAGTCAAAATCGCTTGGAAGGAAATCGTGGGAGAGTAAAAACGCCAGGTTCTCCAACCATGTGTAATTACCAAAGAAGAAGAAAGTGCTAAACTTGTCCAACTTTTCCCATGAGTCAATTGAGCGTAGCTTCTTAACAGAACTGTAGTCCCTCAAGAGCTCTGCGATGTAAGGAATCAATCCGAATATGTTGTCTGCGATTCTAATATCCACGATATAGCCGTAGATGGAGTTGAGTCTCTTTGCAGCCACCTGTTGAGACTGGGTCAGCTCCTGTGGGGTTTCAACCCGAGTCTTCACCAGGTTCAACCTATAGAGGTAGTTGTTCACCAACTTCTTCAACTTTGGGTAGATCTTGATCAGTTCACATAGGAAAACACATGTATAACTGACAAGCTGTAGTACTAAATCCTTGTTGGACGTGATGAACCCACTAAGTCTGTCGTACGTACGGGGATCGGAAATGCCTGTAAGCACGGAGCTCACGAGCAGATGGTTTACTCTAGGTTTACTCATTTGGCTGCTGAGGTTTAGTAGAAGCTACCCATACGAAGAAGGTGAAGAGGAAGAGGAAGAGGAAGAGGAAGAGGAAGAGAAAGGTGAAAATTTATTCTTACCGTTTGACCGTTTGAATGGAAGTGCGAGCTTCATTCAACGCACTTCCTCCGAAAACGGTTAACTCCAAGCGGTCGGGATTAGGCAGAAATTACGCAACCTACAGGCCTCTCTCTGGGAGGGACCATTTGTCCCAGAAAACTTGCTTCACTTGATTGAAAGAAAGGGTGAGTATATACTTACGATACAGTCTGCTTGGATGTACTGATCGACTGCTTTATTCCCATCTTTTGTTGGAAAGATTGGAATAAAGATCGTATATAACTATGCAAAGGTTGTCAATATGCACACTTTGAGAGACACGTCTATGTAGAACCTTCAGGGTTCTTTCTTAACCATTCGGTATGCTCGATCAGTTGTGGACAGTACTGGCTCATATCTTGTCCCGAACTGTCCTCAGTACCACGTCCCTTGTACTCGACTAACCTCAATCCTAAAAGTCTACGACTCACCGACGACGGGCCGTCATATCCTTCGCACAGTGCACCGAGAATGAGTTCAAACATCCTCAGTTCAAAGTCGTAGCCTGCGTCGTTGGTTATAGAGCCGTACATTCTAATATGTCCCCCGTCTTCGTTGACTAGCTCACGGTTGTTTAAAAGCGCAAATGGGATGAGCTTTGGATAGCTCATATGCATAAACTCAACGCTAGCATCTTCAGTGCCTTCAACTTTGACCAGTTCATCAAGTTCATCGTAATGGTTTCCCATGACGTAGTTTCTGTAGTCCTGGATTGGATCCGCTTGACCAAGGGCTTTGCTTTGGAAGTTACCGTTGTAATGGGCTCCAATAAACCTCACCTTTTGCAATACTTGATAATGAGGTGTACCCACCACAGTAGATGCAGCGATGAACGTTTCCTTGTCACCTTCACCAGCAGCACCTTGTGTTAAAAGGGCATAGTATAGATCAGGACCGAAAATGTTGTAGTACAGAGAAAGCAATAACGTCTTCACGTGTTTGGTCTTATCAACGAGAATGGTTCCAGATTCACTGGAAGGGTTCGGCAATGTACCTTCTCTATCGTGATACGTCACGTCTTTCTTGATGTCAAGCTTTTCCTTAGAGTCTTTGAACCTCCCTCTGACAACTTCATCGCTCACTTTTAAGCCAGCAATATCGTAGTACTTTGGAGACGTGGTTCTGGTCCAGGCATCTGGCCATAAAACCATCCCATATTTCTCCATCACCTCAGAGTGGAACAATGGGGTTGGATCCTTTAATGGAGCATTGTCTGCATCCAAAAACAATATCTGTTCAAACTTCGAGATGAGGAAAGCGAGGTTCTTATATTGATACCCGTTAATTTTGACTCCCAACTTTTCAACAATGTTCCCAGTTTCGTAGTTAAGATAGCTACAACGAGCATTGAGTTCCGGTAGGATGTTCTCACAAAAGTCAACCTCATAGTCCTCTTCACTTCCAATGAAGACCTCAACTGGTAGCTCACATCCAAGTTGTCTCAACTGTTCTATGCCCAAGTATGCCAGCCACGAGAATTTACCACCACCTACAAAGATTATTCCCGCCCCTGATGGGTGATCCAACTCGTTGTGGAAGCTTTTATGCTGATCTTTCAGTACCGAGTTGACGTAGTGTTGGTGCTCCTTTTTCAATGTGTCTTGAGCCTGTTTAGGAACCATCAAGAGATTATCGAGGTATTCCTCAGAGAACACCATATCTTGGTCGGTGACAAACTTCTGCTTGGCCTTTTCATCGTTGACGTACTTCGTCAAAGGCTTGACCTCCGGCTTCGCCTGCAAAATCAGCTCAAGCACCCAGTCATATCCCTTGTGCTTAGGACTTATGCCCCTTGTTACCGAAGGCTCAGTGAAGCTTAGCGTGCTCAGTCCACTCCCCGTTGGCGATACAAACACAATGTAGACCACAATGACGAGCGCAGTAAACGTCACAAGCCTCTGAAATCTTCTGGTCATCAGCATGGTCCGTTCACTCTATCTCTCTTCGTGGTGGAAAGGTATCAGATGAAGGCTACAAAGAGATCAAAATCGTCCAAGTTATGGCTTTCTCGATAGTGAAAATTAGCAAAGAGCGATGGAAAAAAAGCGCGTTTCCTTGTGCGACATTCGATGCTCCGCGTAGACTCAGGCGCTGGGCTCAAATGCTAGGCTCAGGCGCTGGGCTCAGGCGCTAGGCTCCGAGCCTGTGCGCGGTGGTGGTGCTCTGCCTAACAAAATCAGCTTATAAAGAGCGTCAACTACAAGATAAATCTACGGTGAAGAAACCAATGGAAACCATAGAATTGAGAACAGAGGTCATGTGCTATTGTAAGGATGGAAATGCCGTGGATTGTACTACTCCTTGGCCAGGTTGATGATATCATCAGGGGAGAGTATGACAACTTTGTCCTCGTACTTCTTTTGAGAACTCTTCAGGGCTGCGAGTGCAACTTCCTCGGCCTCAGTTGGAGAGCCAGCGTATTTGGCGAAGAATGTACCACGAACGGTTGAGCCGAGCTTGACAGCCAAGTTGTTGAGCAATCCCTTATCCTCGTGACGTTCTCCCAGTAAGATACCAGGTCTCAGAATGATTGTCTGCTCAAACCCGAGAGCAATGACATCGTCCTCCAATTGTCCCTTCATCTTAGGGTAGGGCAGTGGCGATGACGCAGAAGCACCCATGGATGATACCAAGACATACTTTTTGAACCCCTTTGACTTAGCAGCCTTGGCCAGCTCCAAGTTCAAGTCATAATCGATAAGTCTTTGGTTGGAAATACCGCCTGCTTTGGCTCTAGTGGTACCCAGTCCTGAGAAGAACGTATCCGGTTGGTCAATTGGCTCTTTCGAGATCAACTCTGTCCAAGTGGACGAGTCCTTGGACGTTAGAATCACCGTGGACTCATTGTCACTGTTATCAGGTTTGGATCTTGACAAGGTGTAGCACTTTGAGAAGTATTCAGGACAGTGTTTCAGTATGAGGTTGCCACATAGACCAGTGGATCCCACGATGAAGGCGGACATTGTGTTTGTTATTGCTTCTCTCCTCAGGACAATGAGAGTGTATGGATAGCTTGCTGCAACTTCTGAGGAAAATTGTTTGTATAGCATAATAATGATTATAATTATAATCTACGTGTAAATGTTAGGGGCACATATTTATAGCTGAGATTGTATAATGTGTTTTATAAACCTATCCACTATGTGTCTCTGTTGTAGCTTTGTGTCTGAGGTCTCTGTCTGGTCTCATTGGAAAACACACGTTGTACAGACACAAGCAACGGAATATCAATGGTTATGATTGGTGGCGCAACTGGTTTATACGGTACAGCAGAGTCACTAACGATGATGTACACTTGATACCATAACCAGAGTTCATTAGATTAAGATTCTAAGCTAGAAATGAGTGTGATGTTATCACCTTTCAGTAGTATTCTTCCGATTTCACTCCTTGTTCCATCCTTTGAACTAATTTCATACGCCTCGTCAACAACAACATTCATAAACTCGTCGAATCCCTTTGTATATACGTTAGTACACAGATAAAAACACCACGTTTCGTGCATTCGATGACGCGACATACCCTTATCTTCCCCTCAATTCTGAAATCTATCTGCTCGTATAGCCAGATGTATACTTTGCACTGTTTTTGAAGGTATTGAAATATAAGATTGATAGGTGGGATGACCTTGTTGTTTATTTCCATGTTAGTATTCGATTCTGAAGCCATCTTCCCAAGGAAAAAGCATAACGCTGGGCTTTTAACTCACCACTTTCTGCTGCTTCTTACCGCTCATCACTAGCGAGTTTACGTATCTCAGTTTCCGTTGAAGTTCAGGAGCTTAAACAGATGGTGAGCTCAACAGTGTGAGCCTTCTAACGTATCTTCACCGTATAAAAATGCGCTTTTCGAAAAAAAGACATGGCTAAATTTTAATTCCGGTAGAACATTTCCCGGAATTCCCAAAAAGAGACGTCGGCGGCAGTTTTTTTTTTTGCGGTTTTGTGATGTTTACGTTTTTTTTTCCAGCCTCAACAATAAAAAAGCAAAACTGTCGATCATAAACAACGACCAAATCGGAGAAGAACCTGAAGCATCTGAAGAAGAAATCTACAGCATCTCAGTGGAAACAGGAAAGATGACAGATTACTCGAAAATCCAAGAGGCGCTTTCCCTGATGAGCTCGAACTCGCAGGACAAGACACAAGCGCTTCACTACCTCGAGGAGTTCCAGAAGACACCAGAGGCATGGAATGCGGTTCATACGATACTACAACAGCAGCAGTACCCGGTAGAGATGAAGATGTTTGCAGCTCAGACGTTGAGAAATAAGATGACGTACGACTTGCACCAGATTCCTCCTGAGGCGCTTGCTGGGTTGAAGGACTCGACGATGGGGTTCTTGATCCAGTACTCCGAGGTCAACAAGCCGATTAGAACCCAACTCTGCATTGCACTTTCCAAGTTGACCATTCAGTTCTTGCAATGGGACAACGCTGTGGATGAAATCATAGCCACTCTACAACAGCAAGTCCCGACGTTGTTGGAGTTCTTGAAGATCCTCCCGGAGGAGTCGTTTGACGCCAAGGGTACGCCGTTGACGGACGAAGAGTTTAGACTAAGAACGGATCAGTTGATTGTGGCAAACGTGGAGAAAGTTCTAACGTTGCTTTCAAACTATGCTCAACAATCTGGAGACAACTCGCGTGCAAGCTCATTGATATTGGACTGTTTGAACTCCTGGATTGGTGAAATCCCTGTGGAACAACTCTTGCAGATCCAACCTTTAACAAATATCATATTCAACTCTTTGAAGGATGAAGACTCTTTTGAAAAGGCGATCGAGTGTTTATGCACCATTGTCAGAGAGACAAAGGACATTGACAACATTGGCTTGATTCATGCGTTGTACCAACAGATTGTACAATTAAGACCACTATTGCAACAGCACAACGATGATCCAGATGTCTTTGGGTCGTTGACTAGACTATTTGTCGAGTCAGGTGAGGCATGGCATATTATTATTGCCAAACAACCACAAGACTACAAAGAATTGGTGGAGATCCTGTTACAGTGTACAGATTACCAAGAAGATTTGGAGATTGTCAAGTACACGTTCTACTTTTGGTACTCTTTAAAACTCATGATCACATTGGATAGATATCAGGAAGCAAGACAGCAGTTCATTCCAATATATACGCAGCTCGTAAATGTTATGATCAAGCATCTGTACTATCCAGATGGAAGTGAATCGGATCCTCTCTTTGAGTCAAAGGAAGAGGAGGAAAAGTTTAAGGACTTCAGATATGATATGGGAGATGTGTTGAAAGACTGTACCGCTGTCATAGGTGCAGAGGCATCTCTCTCAATCCCATTCCAACAGATTCAATCTGTTTTGAACTCACCGAATGTGAAATGGCAACAAGTTGAAGCACCATTGTTCAGTTTGAGGGCAATGGCCAAAGAGGTTACTCTAAAGGAGAACAAGATCTTACCTCAAATAATGAACTTGTTGGTTCAACTACCAGAAAATACCAAGATCAGATACGCTGCAACTTTAGTTCTTGGAAGATACACTGAATGGACAGCACTACACCCGGAGTTTTTAGAAAAACAACTGAACTACATCATCAGTGGATTCCAGTTTGCAAATTCCGATATAATCACTGCAGCTTCATTAGCATTGATGTATTTTTGTCAAGATTGTTCTAAATTGTTGTCCAACTATATCGAACAGTTGTACAATTTTTACATCAACATCTTGAACTCAAATACCACTGCAATTGAGATCTCGTCAATCTATCAAATCTCAGAAGGTATCGCATATATCATTGATAAACAAGACGACACAAATATTGCCAATGCCACTATGATGTTTATCAAACCAATATTGGAGAAATTGGGGAAATATTCTCAGGAACAAGGTACAGAACAAATCTACGATGCTGTTGCACAAGAAATTGAGATCGTTAGGTTGTACTTTGAAGTTATAAAACCAAGAAACTTGCAAGCAAATTCTGATCCTGTGGCATCACTGGCTGTTGAAATATGGCCACTGGTGGTTACGCTCTTGGAAAAACACGGTCAATCTCCAAAGGTTTCAGAACGTTGTATGAAATTCACAAAGACAATATTGCAAACATATGGTTCCTTTGTATTGGAGTTGTTGCCATCTATTGCCAATGTTTTAGTGAAGGGTTTCCAAACAACAAGATTTGGTTGTTATTTATGGGTTTCTGGTGTTGTCATTAGAGAATTTGGCGATGAGGGAATTCCTCAACAGACCAAACAAGCTGTTTGGGAATTTGCCTATCAGCAAGTGACTTCATTCCTTGCAGTTGTTAAAGAAGTTCAACCTATTGACATTCCCGATTTAATCGATGACTTTTTCAGAATGATGGGTGATGTGATTATGTTCTTTGTCACTCAATACGTTCTGTCTGATATCTTGAAACCTTCCTTTGATGCATCCTTAGTTGCATTGGAACTTGAAAAGACCGAGCCAGTTGTTAGCACCTTACACTTTTTAATCGATCTCATCTCTTGGGGATTTGACACCCCACCAATTTCCATTTTGGAGGAGATTCCACCGGAGGTTAAAATCACCGTGCAAAATTTTATTAGTGAGAATGGTGGCATCTTGGTGAACAGTTTACTACAGGGACTGATCTTTAGATTTTCACAAGATGCACAGATTGATGCCTTTGATGCATTGGGTAAGACCATTAGATTGGCACCAAACCCGGATACAGCAGTCATGTGGTTAAATGGCTCACTTGATGCCTTACCACAGAACACTGTGTCACCACAAGAGAGAAACAAACTCCTTACAACAATGTCTACTGCATTGAACTCGAAAGATTATAGAAGGATCAGGGTTAGTATTAAGGATTTCGTGACGTGGTATTCGAGAAAGAACATCACTCCAAGATTCAAAGCGTGATTCAAAATGTCTTTGTTAAACATAAGAGAAAATAAAGGCAAAATTGTATAGAGGGCATTCCAAAATTTCACACAATCATATAACAATATGGCACTACACGTTGAATCCAATCATCAGCTCGTTGTATGTCGATCACACCGGTACGTAGCAGACCCCTGTAGCATATAATTACGAACAACTAACATTGTACCAGGTGTATCGGCACTCTATTATCAGATTGAGATCTCTATTTGCAACACAAGGCTAATTTTGTATGCGCTTCTGTATTTGCTTTAAAGAGACCAATAGCCAGTTCCAGCGAGATCTCATAGGAATTATAAAATGCGTGGGTGATGAGAGAAAAGCTTAGAATGAGACGCTGTGTAGGTTAGGTCATTAGTTGGAGACATGCACATATTTGTTGTGCCAGGAAACATATACACAGAGAAGTACGGAATTTCTCAAGACCTGAAAGAATTGAACATTGAGAAAGCTTGAAAAGTAGTCACTTACCCGAGAGATGCGATAATAAAAGTGATGAACAATGCTAGCACGTACTATACCAAGCAGAACTATATTTGTAATTAAAGCCACATTTAATGGTCACAGGTCTTGGCCCTCTAATTATGGTATAATACCATTATCGACCCAAAGTAACAAGTTATTTTTTTTTCTATTTGAATGGAGTTTGATATTCAATATTTATGTTCAGATAGTACTCAATAAAAGTCAATGAATTTATAAATTACTAAATCTCCAATAACCATATGTTTTAGATTTATATGATTTTTGGAAAGCAACCTTGTACAATTAGTACTCATATACAGACTGATAGTTAAACACTTTGAATATGTGAAGTATATATATATAACTCCCACTTGTTCTTCTTCACATCCGAACATCAAACAATACATCCATAATGCAAAAAAAGGAAATGGTCCCTAGCAGGATCGAACTGCTGATCTTGGCGTTATTAGCACCACGCCTTAACCAACTGGGCCAAGGGACCATCTTCGAGTTTTCGGAGTTTCATAAATATTGGAATCGTGAAAATGTTGTGGCCCGCACCGGCCTAAAATAGCGAACGCGTTTTTGTTTCTTTTGGTGAACGCGTTATTACTTCTGTGTCAGAAGATACACTGCGAGATCAGTGGCTTATTTCGTCGAGTTAATGACGGATCAGAAGATGAGTAGGTGGCAGAGGCCTCCATCTGCTCATTCCGAGATGTCCCTCGATCTTCATTCATCGTCACAGATTAATGGCCTTAACACGGATGCCACAACGAGCCCAATGCCTTCAACACAAGAGGAAACTCCAAATGCTAAGATGTCCATAACGGATGTCTTCAAGGTGATGAAACCTATACGGTTGCGCAAGATGGACGATATGCAGGCAACTAGGGAGGACTATGTTGAGGTTATCCAATCAGACCCTATTGATGTTGATGATGAGGTAATGGAGGACACAAAGAAGAAGACCGCCGTTAATCTGATTGAGGTCTTGAACGGAAACAGAAAAGCCAAACCTGGTAACGAAGGCACAGGGATAATGGTTGGTGATGATGATAAATATGCTGTTGTCCAAGTGACTGGGAAAGCTAAAAGTGGGATAACTGCCAAAGATTTGCTCACTGGTACGAGGAGCCCAGAGATTGTTGAAGTGCTCTCCTCTGATGAGGAGGGTGGTGCACAGGAGAAGCATACAGAAAAGCATGGATCTCTGATTGTCAACTTTAAGTATACCACTCGAGAGAAGAAGATGCAAGCCTTGGAGAGGAAAATTCGCCAATCTGCCAATCGATCTGTATCTGCAAAGGACTTCCTTATGTCATTTGGTAGACCAAAGAAGGAATGTAAAGCTGAATCAGTGGCCATAGACAATGAACGTCAAGAGATGGGGAACAACTTGCGTCAACGGAAGAATTCAGTATCTAAGTTGAAAGAACTCGAACCACCAATCATCACAAGGGACATGATGCATGTCAAATATGATGAGCCACAGATCTCATATAGAACCATCAGCCTTCCTCAAAGGGTTTCACAAAGGACTTTGCAAACAAATACTGTCAATTATAAGCAAATTGATACATGTAAAACTGAGCACAACGTGAACAAGTTCATGTACACAGTGTCGGAAGAGAACAAAATTGCATTAGCATTAGAGAGGGTTCCAGAGCTTAAGTCGGACAGCAGATTCAAAAAATTTGAGAAGCTTCTTACATGTAAACCGGAAAGCGATCTATGGACTTCAATGTTTCATCCCATGTCAGATGATGAGATACTTTGGGATGTCGATGAAACTCAGACCATCAGTCAGTGCTTGGATAATTCTTTCTCAATGTTGAAGAGAAATACTAAGAGACATAATTTTAAAAAGTCCAAAAAAAACACAGATGAAATGGACAACTTTATAGTTTATGATGATGGGGAAGACACTGAAACGGATGATCAGACTTATACGCCTTTGATTATATTATCAGGACCTAGAGGTGTTGGTAAAACCAGTGCAGTTTATGCAATGGCCAACTGCAGATCAGGGTATGTTCATGAAATCAATGCAAGTCAGAGTCGAGGGAGAAAGGATATACTGGCTAATCTCAAGGAGATGAGCACAACACAATTGGTACATTCCTCTTCAAATGATGATGTTTTCCAAAAGGGCTTCATCTTGTTCGACGATGTCGATGTGCTCTTAGAATCTGATAAGGGGTTTTGGTTAGTCGTTGAAGACGTGTTAAAAGTTTCCAGAAAGCCTATCATCTTAACCTGCACAGATGTCAAAGAAATTCCTGAGTCAATTTTAGAATGCGCAAATGTGGAATCTTCGTTTTATCGGATAAAGAGACAATCATCTCAATTGTTGTGTCATTATCTTTATCTATGTGCATTGGTGAACGACTGTGATGTGGACCATGCTGTTTTGATGGAACTTGTCAAGGACAACAACCACGACTTGAGAAAATGCTTATTCGAACTTGAGATGCTTTGTCAGATACCCACCTCCAAGTTTGGAGTAACAAAGATATTGTTCAACGAGACAGTAACCACGGAAGAAAATGGAATCGATGTGTTGAACTTGACCAAACAGCTAGAAATAAAATCTCTTTGTGACGAGATAGGAACTTCTTCGAAGTCAATGATTCCTGTTGATGAAGTTGAAGATGAGCAATTATCTTTGGTACCGATACTTCTTTCAGAGAATCTCCATCCACCTTTATTACTATCAGAATATGACATTTCCAAAGAGTTGTACAACTCTTTAACCAAAGTTGTGGGCACATCTGAACATGAAGGAGCTGCTGAACAACCATCTGCAATAAGGCAACGGGAACGGGCATTTGCTCTGTCTAAAATCAAGAACTTGAAACGTTTAACTAGAGGAACAGCCAGACAGGTCTTAGGAAATCCTGGTGCTTATTTCGCTGATGAAAGATCAGATTTTTCTTTGTTTGAGACACTGAATCCAGTTGCGTATTTCACCGACGTGAGTCCAATAATTAGAGAATTTGCTCGATTCGAGCAAAGCGCAGCTAAAGGGAACAACTTAATCATTGAAAATGACATCGAACATAGACCTGCAAAGATATTGATGCAACAAGGTCTACTGCAACCGAAGCGTTTCAACGCAGACTACAGTGCGGTGTTGTACTCTACAGAAAAGAGCTCGGGTTATTGGGATTGATAACCAGTAAAATAACTATCTAAGTTCATACTAAAATGCATATTAATGAGACTTGGAATCATCACTGTACTGCAATGCACCAGTGAGGACATCAATATTGGACTTGAGATTGGTCATAACAAGTTCATATCTTGAAGCATCAACCTGTTGAAGCTGTTGTAATCTTTGAGCAAAGAATGGTGCAATATCAACATAATCCATAGGTGTGTTTCTAAAGGCCTCATCATCATCAAACTCAGAATCTTCACTTTCCAAGTACTCATCACTGTTCAGTTTGGCTTTTTTACTAATTGCCTCTGGAAGACGGCCAATGGTTTGCGCAAGCTTCTCAGAAAGTTGTGGCAGGAAACCAGTAAGCGTATTTGGCAAATTTTGTGCAGTTAACAACGAGATGAGGGCAGCAATTTGTAGTCTCAACCCGTAGACTTTTTCAAGCATAGGTGTCAAATTGTACCAAATCTCCAAAAGCCTAACGGTTTCTCCAAATGACTCAGTGGTTTGCAACGCAGCTGCTGGGTTTGCATAAAGAGATGCCAAAAATACCTTGAGAACGTAATAAGGGGAAAGATCTTGTTCACGGAATGTTTTCAAAACTAACGCAAAATCAGAATTGATTTCCCTCAAGGTGATAGTTAGATACTCAATGAGTTCAAACGTTCCTTGCTCACCATAGTCAATCTGAGATTCAAGAAGTTCATGCAGAACAGTTTGTAAAGCGTGAACTTGTGGACTTTGAGAGTTTAAGCCTCTGAACCCGTAAAGGATGACATCTTCGAAAATTGAGTTGTAATAGTCAAAGTATTCACCTGCATATGTGCCAAATGATTCTAATATTTGTTGAAACATAGCCCAAGCTTGCTGAGTGACTTGTTTTTTGTTTAGAATCAAACTATCCAACAACTCCATTGCTTCAGCAAGGAAATTTATTGCTGCATTTTGGACGACAAATTCAATTGCAGGGAAGAAAACCTCATCAAAGTCAACCTTTGGAATTGTGACTGCCATAGTTATCATTGTATTAATGACAGCGATACCCTGGTATTCTTTATCGGTGATAGCATCATTAGTACCTCCGGAATTTGTAATCTCAATGATTTCAGTAGCGATTTGAACAAACTGTTGGCAAAGACTCTGACCCATTTCACGAGCAAATGGTTGCAATTCATCCGGGAAGAATTCGACAAAGTATTCCATGATTTCAGATAACATGTCTAATTCAAATTCCTTTGACAAACTCATCAATTTTTGGACAATCTGTGGAACTTCAGCTCTAATTGCATCTGAAACCAATGGATCGGCGATAAGTACCTTTAGAGCATTTGCAGCTTCGATCTGAATTGGTAAGGATTCGTTATTTTTGAAGTTTTCAAAAACACCTTGAAAGACTCTCGAAAGGACATTTTTATCATTATATTTGTAGTCAAACAGAGATATTGTTTCACAAGCTCTTGCCCTCAAAAATTCATATTTACCTGTCAGCAATGGAACAATAAATCCATCGATGATTTGATCAACTTGGGGCTTCAATGGTGATTCCTCCCTATACAACGAAGGGGAGATAGAGCCCAAGATTCTTAAACCACCTTCAGCTTTCAATGCATTTTCGAGGCTCTGATCCTCAGTAAATTTGTTAAAGATGTCGTTTAGCAGGGTGAGAATGTTGTTAACTTCCTCAAATCTATGATGTGCAATGACAAACAGGACATCAACAGCAGCAACGTCTGCCGTCGATGTTTCTCTGTTGATATCAAAGAACCTTCTGATATACTCTTCTGGATCAGTTTCGTACAGTTCCAAATCTCTTTGGCAGAGACATGGGAAGAGCAAATGTCTCAAGAGTGTTGTGAAATGAGGTTGAATTAAGCTCCACGAGTCGTAGATGATACATCTTTCAATGAAAGTGATCAAGTTGTACAACGCAGGTTCACTAACCCATGTACCTGACCCCCATTTCTCAACGACTCCAAAATATACCTTCAGGATTTCTGGAGCGTAGTTCTTAGTAAAGAAATCAACAAATTCTGGGGTTGCAAATTGTGATTTTGGAGTGGCAAATTTGTAGTAGAATCTCTGCAAATTTCCAAACCCCCATTTGTTACATTTCACCCTTCTGTCCAGGACCCTATCTGAAGGATCCAGCTCCAAGACGGATTGAGGAGTTGGTTTCTGAACAACCATCAAATGAATTGATATCCAATTCGACAGATTATTTGTATTTGCCAAGTAATAAGGCATTCCCATTAAGGTAACAAATTTGAAGATCTTCAAGATAAAGTATAACATCTCACCTGATTGATAGTCATCACGATTGATCAGCTCAGGGGCCAGTTTCTCCAAGATGGGGAAAGTCTGATCCACGTACAAATTCAGAGGGGCTCTGCTCTGATCTGTTGTTGTATATTTCAACGAACGGACAACTTCTAACAACAGAAGTAATCCTGTATAGACATGTACTTGGTTTGAAGTTGAGTTCAACAACGAGAGGATCTGTTCGTTTAAAACCCACTCGCCCTTATCCAATATCAGCTTTACAGACGTTGACAGTTGTGGTCTGATGTGATTGTCATTGTGAGCTTTTATAAGAGATTCAATCAGCTTCACTTTGATCTGCTCTCTTTCAGGCTCTAAGATAGAGCTTGATGAGTTAGAATTCCAATAGATAGCAACTCTGTTCTTGAAGAAAACAGCAGCTGAAGATCTTTGAGATAACGATACAGATTCGTCAACACATAGCTCCAAACAGTAAAGTGTGAAGCCAGGTTGTGATTCGAATTTGGTCAATTCGTTTTCAGCCTGCTTCCTGATCTGAGGATTCGGATCCAATGTTCCGGAAAGAACATCCAATATATGCTGTCTCTCCATGGTTTCGATGGCAAAAACAAAAACAAAAGCAGAGACACAATAAGTAGGATAAACCTTGTGTTATGACCTTTCAGTTCGTTGTTTACATTGAACTTTTTCTCTCGATGGACCAGCAGTTTTTTTTTCTTCCTTATTCGCTTCCGGCACTCAACTGCTGAGGAATTTCTGTTGTATCTACCAGGAGCTTGCGGGCCGTAGGGAGATGTTTATGTTAGGGGCAACATTTCTTAAAGCACTCGCAAAGTATCTCTGTGTCCCGGTATCAATTTCCTAAAATGGAACACAAATTCCCAACGCGCTACTTTTTCTTTGCCCGCGAACACCGTTGGTCCTTTTTTTTGCGCTTCAATTCTCAAATTTCTGTCAGAACCTGGAATTGCTTTTGTGGCCATTGAAAACACACAGTACGAAGGTCTTTGTGAAACTGTCGCAATTGTTATCTTTCGATTGTAAAGAACAGCTAACAAGAAGAAGAAGCTGAAGAAGAGACATAAGAATAAGAGGAATCAAATATCTTCAATGTCATCCACAACTCCGGAAATTCGTCCAAACGCATATGTTGGTTTTGATACCATCACGACCCAGATCGAGCACCGTTTGTTGAAGAGAGGCTTCCAATTCAACGTGTTAGTTGCTGGATACTCGGGGTTGGGTAAGTCTACGTTGATCAACTCATTGTTCTCCACACATTTGGTTGATTCCCAGGGTCGTAAGTCTTCACAGGAGCCGATATCGAAAACCGCCGATATCTCTGTTTCCAAGCACAAGTTGGTTGAAAACAACGTCCATTTGAACGTGAATGTCATCGATACACCTGGTTTTGGCGACCAGATAAACAATGACAAGTGCTGGGAACCAATCGTGAGATATATCAAGGAACAATATTCGCTTTATTTACGTAAGGAGTTGACCGCGCAGCGTGAGAGATATATCCAGGACACAAGGGTGCATGCAGTGCTCTATTTCATCCAGCCAAATGGAAAGGGGTTACGCTCTGTTGATGTTATTGCCTTGAAGAAGCTTTCCGAGATTTCCAACGTTATTCCAGTGATTGCCAAATCTGATACTTTGACTTTAGAAGAACGCGAAGCATTCAGAAAGATTCTACAGAGAGAATTTGAATTCCACGAGTTCAACTTGTTCCCATTCGACTCAGACGATCTTACAGAGGAGGAGAGAGATTTGAATAACAGTATTAGAGCTATTATTCCATTTGCAGTTATCGGATCAGAGTCGGAAATCACTATTGATGGACAAGCATTTAAGGGAAGAAGAACCAAATGGGGCACAATTAACATCGAGGATATTAACCAATCTGAGTTTGTATACTTGAGGGATTTTTTGACCAGAACTCATTTGCACGATTTGATAGAGACTACTGCATTCCTTCACTATGAGAACTTTAGATCGAAACAGTTGACAACTTTGAAAGAGAATGCAAGCACGAGTGCCCGTGCTTCAGCACATGTTCCTTCTACTCATGGTCCTCTTCCAAACGGTAGCTCTGAGAACCCAATCTATAAACGTGCTTAGTTAAAGATTTATGATTCTGGGTGCCTTTTTTGTTCCATCTTTGATTGTGTGGAATTGGCTTATGTGTTAGTTGACGAAATTTATACACTTATAAGAGAAGAGGTATAAAGCAAAGACAGTTCTTGTGAGTGCAGTATTTTCTCTATGTAGTAAGCTCTGATTTGACGTTTTCATGGTCTGAGGTACTCAGCTTTATACTTATAGCACGATTCACTGAAATCGATTGGCCATCTCCCAATGAACAATCAAGTTCTCATATCGTTGCCCTGGCATCCTATTTGTTATTGTTTGAAATCAAATACAATTGCCTTTGTTTAGTTTTTGTGGTTCAGAACAAAAATTTCTATGGGGTGCGCCGTGCAGTTCACATTTCTCTTGCAGTTTGTTTTCTTTTCCTTTGTTTTGATTTGAGAAAGCTGCCTGATTTGTTCAAAAAGTAAGGAGATATCGACCAAATAGAAAAGCCTGAGAAGTCCCCTTCAAAAATTAGGATAAAAAGCTCAACGCACAAAAATCAAAACTTGGATTGATACCTCAACCATAGACATTCGTCTGTTCTAAAAAGAGCCGAGAAAGTGTGGAGAAAACAAAAAAAAACAGGCCATGACAGAAGCGTACATTACAATTCTTACAAACGACCGCTATTTACCTGGTGCCCTTGTTCTTGCCAATGCCATTAGGGATCTTGGTACGACAAAGCGTCTTGCGATCCTTGTTTCAAATATTTCCAAAGCCAGCGAAGAATTGGTCAAAAATGTCTACGATGAAGTGATCAACGTCAGCCCAATTGTTAGTACCTCTTTACAACAGTTGAGCGATTTGGGTAGACCGGATTTGACTTCGACTTATACGAAAATCCTTATTTGGAAACAAATCCAATTCTCTAGAGTTGTCTATTTGGATTCGGATATCTTGCCAGTGGTGCCAATTGATGGACTATTCGAAATAGAATTGTCCCATGAGCTCCCAATTGCGGCTTCTCCAGATGCTGGATGGCCAGATATTTTCAATTCTGGTGTTTTTGTCACGGAACCTTCAGAGGCAATTTTTGAAGAGTTGTTTGCAACAATCCAAAACGAGGAATCACCATCATTCGATGGTGGTGATCAAGGGTTGTTGAATGAATACTTCTTGGGTAAATGGGGAAGATTGCCTTTCACTTTTAACGTCACTCCAACTGCAGGTTATCAATATGTTCCAGCTTTCTTGAAATTCTTTAAGGATATTAAAATCATTCATTTCATTGGCTTGAACAAGCCGTGGTTGTCAAGGGATGCTTCACTTTTCGCATCTGGAAGCTTTGGTAAAGGATACGAAATTATGAAGTCTTTGCACGAAAAATGGTGGAAAGTGTTCAACAGACACTATTTTGGTAAGATTGCCGGAGAAATCTTTGCAATCTCCAACATCTCACCAATTGAAGATCACTCAGGTAAAGGGGAAGGTTGTCTCTTGGATATACCAAAAATGACCAACCAGTGGGATGACTTAAAAGTCAGTGACATAACAAATGATACCCAATCGATTTCTGAGCCTGCTGTTGTGATCACACCCTTGTTCCCATGGGAGTTTCGTGAAAGAGTCGAGCCAGAAAGAGTGTTTTCGGAGAGTACCGACTCTTTCTGAAGTGTTCCGTTCTTGTATTATTATCATGGTTCAATATTCTTCGTTTTATAGAGGAGGCAGTTCATACATTCTTTCCTACTCAGTTGGTTAATTATAATACAGTATTATGATCTCTAAAGTCTCAATCAGCTCACCCACTGCACTATAAAAGAATTTGTGTTAGACATATGCTTGTATATTCAGAAACACAACTCATACTTAAGTATAGTGTTTTTGACACTGGCACCATAACGCTATACTGTGCTCTTGAACATTGGATTTATTTCATCACAACCTACCCCACTCTACAACACCAATACCTTTTTGGTCCCCTTTAGCACTCATTTCTTCTACATTTGCCTACAACCCATACCTCCACTTACAAGGTTCCGAAGTAAACCTTCATTCATATCTTCATATTAGGACTTTTTCTCGGTTTGCTGTTGTCCCCTTGCATTTGCACGGTTTAGATCAGCAATTATATCCAGTACAGTGTCTTCATCAACACCAAACTCACTTGGATTCTCAAGGAACAATTCCTTGATTATCTGACGACATTGGACATCAGTGAAAAATTTTCCAGTCAGCTTATAGAGCTCTTTCGAAATGAACCTCCATTTCTCCAACTCACCTTGATCGACAATGTTCTGCAATGATTTTGTATCCTCTGCACTCCAGAATACAGAGGCGACCCCTTGTTGTCCCATCAGCACTTGGTACCTGTTTCTGGCTGTAAGGAAACTTCCAACTCCAGTTATAGCAGCAATGTCAACCCATGATTTACCTCGTCTTTTAAGATCAATGATCATTTCGTCCTGCTCTTTGGTAAACTTTGACTTACGTTTGGCTCGTTTTACATGTGTATCTGATGATTCGTCGACTTTCAAGTTGTGCGTTGAGAATGGTGGGGCTGTTAGTAGTTGCTTGAGTGCTTCTACGGTGTTCCTGAGGTCTAGCTCTTGTCTGTCTAGTGGTTTTTGCTGTTCTTGTTGTTGACCTAACAATGTGTCGAGCTCTCTCTGTTCTGTTTGCTGCTGTCCCTGCTGCTGATCTGGTAGCTCATTCATTGGTTGTTGTTCTTGTTGTTGCTCCTGTTGGAGCTTTAGTGATTCATGGTGGTGATGATGGCGATGGTGGTGATCTTGGTCTGGTATTGGAACAAAGCCCGACTGTCGCTGCTGTAGTTGTTCATTCACATTATCCGAACTCGCCAGTGTATTAAACTGGTCGTGCTTGTGTTGCATGTGTGTATGTTTTAATAAACAGGAAAATTTTTGTCCTTGACCACCCCTTATTGTCTTTCTGATTCGTCTAGGCTGTTCGATTCTTCTTTGTCGCTTTTATATGAACTAAAAAGGAAACTCAACGCCCTGATGTTATGTGTACTGTTTTGTTTGAGAGGTGAACAATAGTTGACAGTGCCTTGGATAGACAAAAACAAAACAAGCTGTATACGGCTAAGTTGATAGTGAAGGCGAAAAAGAAAATATCAAGTGAGAAAAGAGCACAAAAAACAGTGCTGTCCTGGTATAAATAATTTTTGTCACCTACTTCTGATTCGATACGGTGTCTTTAATAAGAGTTTCCTCATTTCCTGGGTTTTGGAACAAACTTTTCATTCTGAATATTATTTAAAGCCAGACCCGCTGCTCATGTTACCTTGAAAATGCAATGTCAAGTAAATATATTTTTAAGTGCATTTACCATACTCTTCTTAGGTCAGATTAATCTCCATGATGTGTACATAAAGACTGTAGAAAACCCCACCAAAATTATGATTGAGATAACCCAATCCAGAGAAATAACCATGCCATTGTTATATTCCCATTAATGAAAGGATCTGGCTCATATATACAATTCCAAGGAATATGTTTGAGGTCAAAAAGACCGAGGAGGCCTCTCTTTTCGGTATATGCACAGTCTCGATTCCTTGTGAAATTTATGTCGGCTAGTACATGAGCTTCTAATTTCAGGCCCCAGGATCAACAGGTTACAAAAGTACTATGATAGGTATATATTATGGACTCACGAGTTGCACCCCAGTGGCAACCCCAGTGGGATGACTATGATACCGCTACATGAAGGTGCCACCCAAAGATCTTTATAATGATATGAGCACTCACGCAAATGAGAAACACAAGTGAGCAACTGAGATGGGAAGTGGGGGAGCTCAAAAGAGAATTCGCTTTCTGTGCTTCATAAGTTTGAGAGCATTCAATGTCGTTTCTTGAGAAATCAAGACTTTCATAGATAGTTACATCGCCCATGCATATACCAGAAAGGGGTTTCTGTTTTATGACTCACTCACTCATCGAATAATCATTGTGTACAACTGTATAACACCTCCACCATGCAAGGGTATTTTAAGAGACTAACTCATGCATACTCTCATAATTCATGCGTGTATTATTAACATTGATGATATTGCAGTAACACATCCCAGTTGGCCCTGCTTTAAATAATCTCTCCCTGATAAAACCAATGGGTAATTTCACAACCCACGCGGTTTGATTAAAATTAGAAGTACGCTTTAGATCGTAAGCCACAGCTTTTAACATGAAAGCAACGTAGTGAATGATCATTGTCGTATAATTTCGTACTTTAATGATTCTTCGAAAGCAGACCTGGTTTGGTAGTTCTCAAGGACAGATATTGCATCTCCTGACAGCAGTGTGCGGATACGTTAGTAAACTTTTCAATTATATACACCCATGGTCTCATCAGTAATTTCGTTACGGGAGATTGTGTAACAAAAGCAACCCTATATACATTTTAAATTAGCCAAGCGCAACTGATCCAAGCTGAAAAGCTTCTGTTATGCTATCAAGTTCAAAGGATATAGGCTATTCCGCCATCAAATGGCATATCCTGGTTTGTAAGACGGTTATTGGTTGAAGCACATTTTGAACGACTCTAAATTGTAAACAATAGACCAATGAAGAACTTTGTTATTATTAACCAGTTTTTGTGTCTGATCTTCTAATCATTGGTCATGAACGACGAAGCCATTGTGGTAGTATTGGTTTTCTTGTGAAAAGTCACAGTAAAAGTCTGATAGTGGTTTAAGAAAGTTTACATTGTATTGGACAAGCCTTTCAGAACAAGAAATATTGAATACAACTACATCTACGAGAAGCTCTCCTCTTTTTGTACAAGAAGCTACAATTTTCAAGTTAGTCTTGATTGATATTCAAGCGATTTCATTATTTAAGTGGACAGGAGATCCAATTTTGTATGGGAAAAACCCAAAGGTCACAGGGCCTGAAAATTGGTCGACGCCACATAAAGTAATTACTTTGCCCAGGGACCTATAAGATTCTTTGGGGCAAAAATAAATTACCGACAAAGTCAAGCGAATATTCAAAGGATTCACAATCTGTTCTGTACATTCATACCATAGGTATGATCTCTTATATCAAGATGTCTCTTTAGTTCGGCATTGAGTCCATTTTCGTTTGATTCGCTCTTCTTCTTTGATGGCCCATCACTTCCATTAAGCACGTCTTTCATTAAAGACAAATTCATTTTGCATGACCGCAAAGTGGAATATGAATCTTGCTTAGCGATCTAACGTATGTCTTGTATTCTTTTCAGTTGCAATTTCAAGGCAATCATCGACTGGTATGTGCGTTCCATGAAAATAAGTTGGGGTCAGTATCGTTATTGCGGATTTGTTCAACTTACTGTGCTTTTCGACTGTCAACGTAGATAGTTCCACAATGTCGCAAGTGGTATTGATGTCAAGTGCGTACGTGTTGGTGTTCAGAGCTTGCGTTATGACCCTCATAGCGTGAACACAAGGAGCATGTTCACTCATAACATCACTATGGCAAATGGGACATTCTATTGTGATAACCTTTGTACTGTCAATTCCACCATCCTCATCATACATCAGTACCAAATGGGCTTCAGATGATTTCAGCATACTTTTAGTATTACTTATGCGACGCCAGGAAAACTGTCTTCTTCTGTCCATTATTTTGTCGCACAGTTGACTCATGCTGACAACCTTACAGCTTCACATTTCTTTACATGAACACCACTCTCATACTGCCTTCCCAATAAAAGCTTCGCATCAAACGGATCGGTAAAGAACTCTTGTCGATCCATCAAGTGTTGACCACGACTTATAAAGCGATGTTTTTGGGGAGCAACTTAACTTTGATTTCTTGTGTTCAGCGCAGAGAGGTACATTTTCGAAGAATATTGGATCTTGCTGACCTATTCTTGTATAAACAAATGAATCAAATTAGGCGTATTCATATGTCTTTCAGGCCTGACCACAAAGTTCTGCTGTCCAATAAAATTTGAATACGATATATTGCAACTTGAGAAAGATCGAAATGCCTTCGTGTATCCCATAGACAAAATCACTCAGAATTCAATTGTCTTGAATCTAAAACGAGTGAAAACAGCAATTATTTCACAAAAAGGGGAGAAATTCTAATAATTGGCAGTATACCACGTTAGTTCACTATTAGAATTAGATTGATGCTAATAAAAATAACAAACCGGCCTTCACATTTCCTCAGAGTATACCAAAATGTAGTTACTACACGAACCAAGGGATGTACAAAGTATGAACATGTAATCTTCAAGACAGCCAGAGATATAACAATTCATAGTTCGTGTGGTATAATCAAGAAAACCCCATAATTTTGCTTATATCTCAACAACGAAATATAATTAAGGAAAAGTGAAACCATCAAAGTGTATAACTAATCTATATTGTCATATAAACAGTTAACTTGGTTGGATAGGTGATTCTTCCAAAATGGCCTACACCGTGTGTGTTTTTATATAATTCTGGTTGTCGTTGCCTTAGCAATTTTAAAAATGTAAGGATGTTTCCCAATTCTGTACGTACTGTTTACATTTTGAAATCTTATCAACACAAAAATGACACAAAACCAGTACAGCTTTATACACAGAATCAAGAATATCACAGAATAATGGCCAAGAACAAAAGATCAAGCAAGTAC